TTTTATCTCGTTTGCAAGTTGAAGGTAATATCAATGTACCTCTGAATAGATATAGGTCATTGATATTATAAATAGAATACTTGTATCAGTAGCATTCAGAGATACATTTATCACATTCATCTAACTGGTTTTGGCTTCCTTTACAACTTGGATATCCATCAGTAGTAAAGAATATTTAATTTTTGAATTATTTTCAACAATTATTTCACCATGGTTTACTTTAATATAAACACATTCAATCATATTTAGTTCATGGTTAAAAGAAATAACTTCCCTCGTAGTGAGCACGATTTCATGCTTGGCAAAATAAGGAACACTGACACAACATTAATCGAATCCTACAACCTCCTACTTTATATTCTGCCAGCCGATCCTGGGGAGGGGAAGGTATATTAGTGTGTATAAGAAGGGGAAGAGTATACTCACCTCGTGACTTGAATAAAATATCAGATTGGAATTCTTCAACCGAGTAAACTTAGCTGTCATCAATAACCGGGCCAGTTTGATGTGATTACATAAATTAAGTACAATAGTTGTCGACTCATTGATCCTTGTTTCATAGCGAAAGAGAAACGTAGACAGATCTTATTCAAAACTGTAATTTGTAGAAACAAATTCACTTGTAATTGGAACAGCGCCAATGAATTTTTTAGAATTTACATTATTAACAGTTCCTCTCATATACCCAACCACAAAGTTCTACTAAGTTAAATTCTACCTCAAATTTTATTAAGAATACAACCTAACTGTTTCTATTAGGGATATTATTATTGTAATATTTACTAAATCCAGACTCCTTTTAACGGTGATTAAACATACAATATTGTTTTTTAATATACAGTATGTTAATTAAATAAGCATTATGTTTTGGCCTAAAAATACTCATAGATGACAGATTAATATGATGTTTTTTCGCACAAAAGCATAACATGCATGTGTTTAGTTGTACGTGCACAAACATAAAGTATCTGTATGTAAGTAGCTGTGAAAAATATATATATCTTGTTCAAAGAATGACTTACTTGAATTATTTGCTGTTATTCCTCCGAGGAACGTAGGGCAGCAACCAGATCTCCTCCAGCGTACTCAGTTGGGAGCGACTCTCTTCATTCCAGCCATGTTTTATTTACAAATCAAACATCATTGTTTCCGAGGATATTGCATAACTATTTGTATTACGCTGATACAGGAACTATAAAATGTTTCATTGCTTAATTTGGTTTAGAACCCGTTCCAAAAAAAATAGCTCGTGAATAAAAGGAAAATTTTTTTTTATGGAAAGAGCATTGTATTCTACGATGAACTGTTCATTTTCATTCTTTCACTAGATCATAAAAACCGTCCTGCAAAATTAATTTGTAATAAAAAATCAGAACTTTCCTATATTTATATTGCTTATAGATAGATATATTGCCGTATATCTAGTCCGGCCTTGGGCTGCCTCAAGTTAGGATAACGAGGAGTATAGAAACACATTTCAGCTAAGGCACGAGCCTGGAATTGTTTTGCACACTACTTCAGGCTACACCTAGGGGTTGCGGCACTATCACTTAGATAAAATCCATTGGTGGGATTTGAACCCTGGACCTAAGGGATCAAAGTGCCGAGCTCTAACCACTAGACCAGCTCGCTCCCCTTCCCTTTGTTTAAACCATACTAAGGTTAAGCCCAGATTGTTTGTTCTCGTCTAACATAAGGCTACTCTTAAAAAAAATACCGCTCGTTAGTATATTTTTTTATACATATGATCATAAGAGCTTGTAATTCCCGAAAATAACACAACTACAGCTTGATCAAAGTTGCAAACATAGATTCAACTCCAAGTACTCGTATTATCCACGGTGACACAATTAGGTTGTCTTTACAGGTGGCTGCATCAGCTCTAATCAATGGCTTACTGCGCTGTACTCTGTATAGGTATCCACATTCCATTGGGTACAGCTCTTTGTACAATTACCGTGGTTCACTACATCAAAATATGCTTAGAGCTTTGTATTAATATTTGTAGATTTAATGAATGTTAAACACAGAGTGATGGTCGGACTAATCTTTTGTAGCAAACTTGTAGAGATAGGTTCAAGCGAGTACAGAAAGTACGAGTATATAAAATTAGCATTATTTTTCATTGAAACTAGCAATAATTTAGTTTTCTCAATTCTTTTATTGGTTAACCATAAATTAAATATAAATTTCAAAACTAATCTGTGCCTTGAAAATCATCCAAATGAAACAATGCCACAGACTAGACAAAAACAAAACCACGTCTTTTTTTACTTAACAAACGTTTTAACGTAATATCGTTCCGAAAAGTAAATAAGATGCGTGGCATGAATAGGTTTGGAAACATCGCTGTATCTTTGGCTTAAATTATAGGGAGATTAAATAAAAAAAAAATAATAATAACACTTTAAACATATATTTACACTTATACTTATTTAAACAAGATGGTAAATATACATAAAAGGTGGTAATGGTGATCGATTTCGATTGGACACTCCAATAATCATCAGACCTAATAGGCGAATGACATTTTATATATATTTACCTTTTATAAATATATGTTTGATTGTTATTAGACTTGTTTTTATTTACTCTCCATAAAATAGCACGTATTAAGCTGATTAAGATGTAATGTAAAGTAATACGCCTATGGTGTAAGGAAATCGCTGGTGTTATTTTGTGCTGAAAACATATTTTTACCAACCAGTACAATTACAAATAAAATATTTAAAACAAAAAGGTTAAATATGTATAACAAATTAAGCCTATCTGAGTTATTTCTTTGATGAGAAAGGATATTTCATATGGTCATAATTTTAACTGTCCTGTTTTGATGAAGGAGAAAACGTTGAAAATGCGTAAAAGTTCAACATGTAATCGAACTTTATGATTAAATTGAACATTTCTAATGATATTAAACATCGAAACGAATCAACGATAACAATTTACCGAACGAAAATTCTGGATAAATTAAATAATAACTGGGGACCAATAATCATGATGAAATCCACGGAATTTATTAAGAGCATATTGTGTCTGAAATAATTAAATTAGTAGCAGAGAAATATGATATAGGTATGTAATAAAAACGAACTAAGTAAATAAAATAATGTAACAAATGTTTATTTCAACGCAGGATGTAAATTTTTGTTTAAACAAGTAGAGCATAAAGAATTTTTGCTTTCCTAGATACGAATAAATAACACGTTTATTCAACAAAACTATCGAATTGAAGTGCATTAATCATATCTCAATGTTTACAGTTCATTGTATCCTATTCAAAGTAGTCAATATGCAAATAATATCATAAATATTTCACAATAAATTTTCATGTCGAAAGTGGATGATATAATAATGTTTATACCTAATAGTATATTTGTGTACATACATTTCGCAAAAATAAATAGTATATTTTTTTTTAGATATTTTAAAGAGTAATGCAATAGTTTAATCACACTCATAAATACGAAACTTTAAAATGTTGCGTATGCCAAAATCATATAATGTTCTAGCCCATGCTCTGAATATACATATTTAAATCGGTAAACAACTGAGAACATAAAGATTCAGATAGCATTACAGTTTATAACAAAAAATGATACTATATTTTTAAATCCAAGAAAACAATATAGTACGGTTTAGCTAATAAAATTCCATCTAGAATAATCTTAACAAAAGAAATTAGGCCAACATTTTTTGTAATTTTTTATAATTGGTTTATATTATTTTAGTAAAATTTATTTCATTTCTTGTATGTGGAACATAACTAAACGAATACAAGTGAAACTGCAAGAATGAACAAATCTATTACATATACGTATTCAAAGTGTTCATTTACAAGTAATACTGTGGTTTTAATTCAATTTTCAATTAATTACCTAGTACAACGAATCATTCTGTACAGTCTTTAACGGAAAGCCGTACGGCGGTTTGAACAACAAAATTAATGCTGGTGCTACCGTTACCTTGTCGGATGTCTTGAAGGTGGATGATGTCCGTCTCGTCCAAGGTAGTGGGTAGTCCAGGGGATGGAAGCGGTGTAGACAGCAGCGGTGTAGACCAAGGGTGCGGGGGCAACAACAAGGGAAATGACTAGCACTGGTGAAGTTAAAAATGACTGGTATATTGAAAAAAAAAAAACTTAAAACTGACAGAAAGGAAGTTAATTGAAAGTTAATGAGATTGAGAGAGTCTATGTAAAATTATGGAGGTAGGTATGGACGTCTGCCCATGACGCCGTCGGCAATGCTAGTGAGGAGCGTTTCCAGTAGTCGGAGTGGGGACGATTCGCCGTAGATAACGTTGGGCAAGGTTAGGGTAGCACCAATCTAGGGTCTTTAAATAAGTACCAAACATTCCCCCCACCCAAAAAAGCATTTTTTGAGAAAATATTAAAGAACATTAAAGAAACTGTAAATCTTTAAAACAAAAACCTTGGATAATAACCGTCATCATGAATCAAACCTGTTACCTAACTATAAAGATAATACAAAATGTTGATAATATGTACAAAGAGACAAAGGTAACACAATCTAAACCATAGGGAGATGAACTAACTTATTTACAGGGCGTGTTACAATACCTACAGGGGTTTTGACTTTAACAACTCTTACAACTTGGTCGGATCCTGGCATAACCTTAATTATCCTACCTAGGGGCCAAGTCAAAGGGTCAGTATTTTTAGAGTACATTAAAACTAAGTCTCCTTCCTTAAGGTTGAGGGTTTTCTCAGTCCATTTGGGGCGTTGGATAAGAGTATGGAGATAATCTCTTCTCCAGCTCTTCCAGAAGTGCTGAGAGGCACGAGAAACTAGCTGACAGCGTGAGAGTAGGTTTAAGGGTTCTTCCGAGATGTCTTCTTCCGGTCGTGATAGCAGGAGGTCTCCTGTGAGGAAGTGGCCAGGAGACAAGTAATTAAAGTCGTCATCAGGTGACGATGAGAGTGCGCAAAGCAGCCTGGAGTTCAGTACAGGTTCAACACGGCACAGGAATGTGGTGAATTATTCAGCAGTGAAATTATGGTTTTGCAGTATCCTTTTAAGATGGTGTTTGGTCGACTTCACTGCAGCCTCCCAGAGGCCTCCGAAGTTTGGGGCATATGGCGGGTTAAAGTTCCAAATTATTTCTCGTTGAGCCAAATGTTCTGAGATCTGTGAGGTGGAGTTCTTCAGGAGAGAGTAGATTTCTTGTAGTTGGCGTGCAGCACCGACGAAGTTGCGACCTTGATCAGAGTAAATGTTTCGGCAGATTCCTCTCCGAGCGATAAATCTGTCTATAGCGGCTAAACAAGATTCAGTAGAGAGTGAATGCACTAACTCAAGATGGACAGCTTTGACTGCCATACACACAAACACAGCAATGTAGCACTTTGATAGTTTTGCATTTCGTCTTGTGCTTTCTTTAACGAGAAAAGGGCCAGCAAAATCTAATCCGACATTAATAAAGGATCGGGTCTGTTGAAATCGTGAGATTGGAAGATCTGCCATAAGAGGTTGCGTGGGTTTAGCTTTCATTTTGTAGCAAGTGATACATCGAAATAATCGTTTTCTTATAAGATTTCTTGCACCAATAATCCAGAAGCGTCTTTGAATCAATGCTTGTACTAGTTTTGGACCATTATGTAGAGAATACAAGTGATAGTAATCACATAAAAGGTTTGCCAAATGACACTGAGAGGGTATCAATACAGGGTGTTTTGATGATTCCGGCAACGGAGCTAATTTCAATCTACCCCCCACCATGAGGGTGTCCGAGGATAGAAATGGAGAAAGTTTTCTTAGTGATGAAGAACAAGGCTTGGATAGTTTTAGAGCTTTTATTTCTTCAGAATAGTGCCGTGTTTGTACTAATTTTATACAACATTCCAGAGCGGCATCTCGTTCAGAAACTGATAACGAGCCATAGCGTTTATTACATTGATCAGATCGTGAGTTATGGATAAATCTCAGTACACAGCCCATGGTGTTTTGAAGATTAATGAGTGATGAAAACCTATTCATCCATTGATAAAGATCGTTTTGGGGAACAGCATTAGTTGTCAAGGTGTTCTTCGTGGGAGTTTGTTGATGCTCAATAACATCCGAAGAAAAGTTTGAAGGCGGTAGAGTTCAAGATGAGATATCATTGTGGATAAAAGAGGGTCCATGCCACCAAAGAGGGTGACTCAACAGACTATTCGGCAATAAACCTCTAGTGCCACAGTCAGAAGGGTTTTCATCTCCTGATATATGACGCCAAACATCAACAGGGGTGATTTCTGTGATTTTACAGACACGGTTTGAGACAAAGGTTTCTAGGAGGTGTGGTGGTGTATTTAACCAACCAAGGACATTCATGGAGTCTGTGAATAGGAAGATGTCTGATATTTGAAGTTTATTAATAAGCGGTTGGTTCGCTTTTACTAACTGAGAGAGGAAAAGAGCGGCACACAATTCTAAACGAGGGATCGTAAGTGTTTTCAGAGGAGCGACTTTAGTTTTGGATTGCAGGAGGTTGCACTCTACACTCTTATCTTCACATTCAATACGTAGATACAAGGAGGCGCACATGCCTATTTTGGAATCATCAGAGAAACCAATCAGCTGAGCGGTTAAGTAGTTACTGAGAATGTAGCGAGGTATTTTGAACTGTGTCATAAGGGGTAGTTCTTTGATGAATTTATCCCAAACATTTTGGAGATATTGAGGGAGAGGGTCGTCCCAGTTGAGCTTTTCAATCCAAATCTGTTGAAGTAGATATTTTAAGGTGAAAATAATTGGACTAATAAAGCCGTTTACATCGTAAACTCGAGCAACTTGAGACAATACATTGCGTTTGGTTGGCGTACTGTTGACAGGTGAAATAGAGTAGCGGAAACAGTCAGTAGTCGGGTCCCATTCAAGTCCTAGTACTTTAATCGAGTGTGTAGATCCTAACGGATGGGGTGTTTCTCGACGGTCGGCGGGGATTGTGGTGAGGACGGAGCTACTTGAACTTGACCACTTATGAAGTTCGAAACCACCTGATGAGCATAGTTGGGTGATTTCTTTGTAAAGCTTAAGAGCCGAAGTCTCGGTTGGAGCGCCAAAAACAAGATCGTCAATATAACAAGAGGAGCTTAGAATATCAGCCGCATTTGGGTACTTAGCGCCTTCATCAAGCACTAGTTGCTTCAAAGTTCGTTGTGCAATATAAGGACTGCACGAGAGACCAAAGGTTAGTCTTTGTAATTCCCATTCCTGTACAGGGCCCGTGAGGTCAGAGCGCCAAAACAAATATTGATATTTACAATCAGCCGGTGTTATACGAATAGCTCGATACATTTGTTTGAAGTCACAAGTCATAGCAATCTGGTGCAATCTGAAGTTTGTGATAATAGTTCCAATATCAGCTTGAAGCTTAGGTCCAGTTAACAGTGATTTATTAAGAGACTGATTTGTGTCACTTAATTCAGAAGCGTTGAACACAACACGAAGCGGGGAGGATGTAGAAGATTCTTTAACGACACCGTGATGAGTAAGAATGTATGGAGAGGGCGCAGGGGCCAAACACATATGACCTAGGTCAACATAGTTCTGCATATGAGTCATGTATTGAAAACGAATATCTGGTTTCTTGTGAAATCTTGTCTCTTGTTGGAGATACTTGCGGAGAGCTATTTTTCAAAGTGGAGCCTAAGTCAGGTTTAACGTCTTTAAAGGGTAAAGAGGCCACGTAACGTCCGGTATTATCCCTCTGGATGGTGGACTGATAGTGGTCTTCACATGCCTGATCAGAGGGACTTAAGTGTTTTGGTAAATTTATTTCTTCCATTTCCCAGAACTTTTCTAAGAGCCTATCAGTGCTTTGAGATGAAACAAACAAAGAATTTAGTTCGTGTTGTTGCATGGGCTGTTTGGGAACATCACCCATAAGGATCCATCCAAAGATTGTGCTGAGGGCGCTTGGTTTGCCTTTAATAAGCGCGAAACCATCCGAAAGAATGTCTGTGAAAGCCTGTGCTCCGAACAAAATATCAACCTTGGCAGGGCGGTGAAAATCAGGGTCAGCCAGTTGTATAGAATTGAAACGATTTATCAATGATTCGGGAATAGGTGCAGCCGGAAGTACAGAAGAGATTTGAGGAATTATTACTGCGTCAATCTGAATGTTATCGTCTCTGTTATAGCGGGAAGCAACGTTACAAGTGACAAGTCCTTTTGCGGTTAAATCAGATTGTTGGCCAATTCCGGAAATGTTAACATTACATTTTCTGATTGGTAAACGTAATGTCTGGGCTAGAGATTGAGTAACAAAATTAATCTGACTACCTCCATCAATAACAGCCCGGCAAACTTGCCAGTGGCCTAGAGCATCTTGAACCAACACTTGAGCGGTACCTAGCAGGGTAGAATTACTCATTGAGTTATGCTGAAACTGACAGGATAACGTTTGAGCAGGCGGTGTAGTGTTAACCGAAGTAGTAGGCACGGGGTTGACGGTGGTTGAGGGCGATGAATGCGCAGCGGAGGTTTGAGGTAGGTCAGGATTCACATTTGGCTTAGACAGCGGTGCGGTGACTCGGCTTGGTTAATGGAGTAGAGAGTGATGTCTGTTACTTCTGCAAACCCGACAGCTCGACTTAGAAGTGCACATGGAAATGAGGTGGGAACCGAGACATGCGAAGCAACGATTGAATGAACGTACTGTAGAATAACGTTTGTGCGGGGCCAAAGCGAGGAATTGATCACATCGGTACAGTTGGTGTTCACCTTTACACATAGGACAACTGATAGCGGGACGATAAGATGACTGGGTTGCTGTGCGGTCAGACTGAGTTGTACTGCGATGAGTTGAGTGAGATGAGAACAATGTTTTGCGAGTATGAGGGATCTGTGACTTGGGCAAAACTAAAGTAGATTTGTGAGATTCTTTAGTGAGTTCATAGACACAGCACTGAGCACGAAGAAATTCCATAAGGTCTTCTAAGGTGGGAAATTGCTTAGATTTAAGTTCTAACTCAAATGCTTTCCTGGTACTATTGTCTAAATTACGTAGCGCTAACTGTAGCAACATAAAATCTGACAAATCGTCTACTTTTAGGCTTTTCAACGCTTGGACATTAATATGAAACACATCAAGAACTTGTCTTAAACTACTTAGACTAGGGGTCTTTACAGGTTGCTGATCTAGTATTTTATTGAGATAAAAACAAGCCAAGATACGGGGATTGGTGTAGCGTTCAACCAAAGAGTCATAAGCTAACTTATAGTTGTCTGGATCGAATGGTATGCCTTCAACAATAGACAAAGCGGGGCCTTCTAGTAAGCTCTTTAAATAACTAAACTTCTCCATTGGGGCCAAAGAAGTATTGTGAATCAAGTTATCATACAAAGCTTTAAACGAGTTAAATTGTTCCAACTGTCCACCAAACTTACTTATATATATCTGGGGTAGTTTAGGTTTAGGCTGAACTGCGGGTGATGGTTCAACATTGACATTTGAAGGTGGATCAGAGGCAACAATCTTGTTGTAGGCAGCCATACATTTATAGTACATGTCATCAAACTGTTTAAAAGGCGCGCTAGTACCCTAACGCTAACATCAGTTATTTCAAGATTGAGGTTATCCATTTCTTCGGAAAGAGATTCAAATGATGAGTACGCATTAGACAAATTAGAATACCTAGCAATAAAACTATCTTTCTGTTGTGGCAATTCTTTTACAAGATCGTAACATAATTGTAACTTATAAAAATACCTTTCTCTTTTCTTAACACACTTTTCAAGACTCTTAGCAGCCATTGTGAAATGTATAATATTTATTTCTTTAACAAAAATAAAATAAAATAAAAATTACAACTATTATAAATGCAGTATTAATAGACAAGTATTAAGTGGACATATCAATCATATCATTGTGAAAGTGAGTACAAGGAAATAAATTCTGTAAAATAAAATATAGAGGTAGAATATTTCCAGTTAGATCAGCTGACTGATAAAGCGAATATTCCATGCGGTTACGTCATAGCTTAGTTATTTTTGGAATGGATACAATACAATGCAGAATATTGTGGTGCGTTAGTTGACCTTGGGACATAAAAACTGGATAACGGTCAATTTATCAGCGCATAGCTACAAGCCAAAACTTTTCAAAACTATTCCTGCCTGTCTGTTCACTGTACAAGGTTATTGAACTCAAACTAAACAACAATTTATAACTACATATAAAATTATTGCAAGGTTTGTTTCATGAGGAGAGAAATTATCTGAGAATAAGTTGAGATGTTTACGTGGACTGTATTTGCGGTTATTAAATTAAGGTGCATAGTACGAAATCATATCCGCGGGAAGAAGGGCCAAATTGTGTACGGTCTTTAACGGAAAGCCGTACGGCGGTTTGAACAACAAAATTAATGCTGGTGCTACCGTTACCTTGTCGGATGTCTTGAAGGTGGATGATGTCCGTCTCGTCCAAGGTAGTGGGTAGTCCAGGGGATGGAAGCGGTGTAGACAGCAGCGGTGTAGACCAAGGGTGCGGGGGCAACAACAAGGGA